TGGATGGATGGATGGATGGATGACAGATAGACAGACAGGCAGACAGACAGAGACAGAGGGAATAGCCTGCCTACTGCAATTGTAGATGCTCCATCACTGGCTGTTTTTAAGAAAAGATTGTCAGGGATGGTATGCAATGCCTTGAGCAATGGGTTGGACTAGAAGACCTCCAGCCCTGGGATTCTAGGATTCAGCCACAGCATCTCCTCCATCTACGCTACATGGAATTTCCGGAAGCTGTTCCTACGGCCACCGTTGCAGGAACCCCAAAGTTCGTGCCTCGGTGTTCCTCGACAGCTTTCGTTCGCGGCACGAAAGTTGCTGTCGACAGAGACCCACTTGACACATTAGGCTTCGTTCCCCTTCCTCACCCCCTGTCATTCCATTTTCTCCCGAGCGCGGAGAGGCTAATGCAATTTGGATGGCATTTATGTTGTCAAGCTTGATCCTGTCAAGACAAGCAGAACTGAATTACACTGTTTGTTTTCTACGGGCTTGGGAGAAGAAAAAAAGGAGCGGGAGGCGCAAATCCACAAGCACGAGTTGTCTGGTGTCAGCCGACGCTTGTAAATAGCTTTCCTCGGCTTTTGTGTAATGAGTTGTGGCTGTTGCACGCTTCTCCTCCTTGGCAGGTTGGATCCACGGAGGACGGGGCTGAAATGGACACCTCGTATCTGTTCTCTTCTTCTCCAGCTAATCCTTGCAGAGACTTAAAGGTTGGATGAAACCAGACCCCAGGGTAGGTTCCTTTTGAAGACTCGTGCTTCGTAAGTCTTCCATCTTTCCTCCGAGGCATTCCAGGAAAGAGGGCTGTTCGTTGCCTGCTGTAGCACAACGTCACTTTGGCTGCTGACAGCCCAGGTTTCTGGCCCAGCAGCTTCACAGTGATCCCTGCTCGACAAGGCCGCACTTGGAAGACTGCGGGAATCGGGTATGTCTGGAATGGAATGGAGTGGAGTAGAGTAGAGTAGAGTAGAGTAGAGTAGAGTAGAGTAGAGTAGAGTAGAGTAGAGTAGAGTAGAGTAGAGTTAGAGTAGAGTATGGAATAGAATAGAATATGGAATAGAATAGAATATAGAATAGAATGGAGTGGAGTGGAGTGGAGTAGAGTAGAGTAGAGTAGAGTAGAGTAGAGTAGAGTAGAGTAGAGTAGAGTAGAGTAGAGTAGAGTAGAGTAGAGTACGGAATAGAATAGAATATGGAATAGAATAGAGTAGAGTAGAGTAGAGTAGAGTAGAGTAGAGTATGGAATAGAATAGAATATGGAATAGAATAGAATATAGAATGGAATGGAATGGAATGGAATGGAATAGAATAGAATAGAATAGAATATAGTAACAGATTTGGAAGGGACCTTGGAGGTCATCTAGTCCAACCCCCCGTTCAAGCAGGAGAACCTACACCATCTCAGACAAATGGTTGTCCGATCTTTTCTTTAAAACTTCCACTGATGGAGCATTCACAACTTTTATGGGCAGGCTGTTCCACTGGTTAATTGTTCTAATTGTCAGGAAGTTTCTCCTTAGTTCCAGGTTGCTTCTCTCTTTGGTTCGTTTCCCTCCGTTGCTTCTTGTTCTGCCTTCAGGGGCTTTGGAGAATAGCTTGACTCCCTCTTCTTTGGGGCAGCCCCTGAGATACTGAAATGCTGCTATCATGTCTCCCCTCGTCCTTCTCTTCATTAAACTAGACATGCCCAATTCCAGCAACCGTTCCTTAGGAAAAAGTGCCCACAGATATTGTTTGATTGCCCCCAGACTGTGTAACCTCCAGTCAAACTCCAACTGGTTATTGTGATCAAACCGACTGTGCAAACATCAACAAATTACTCGCATGCAGCTAATTAAAAAAGGGTGTGTGTGTGAATGAACGTTCAGCAGCCCAGCTTAATTATCCTGCCTCCCCTGCACATAAATTACTTTTCAATACTCGGGTGGAGAACTATTCCACGCAGAGCTGCAAATTCATCTGGGCTGCAATCTTTGGCTTCCCTTGCAGAGTGGAACATAAATCTTGGAGCTTGTAGGAGTCATCTTGAGGAAGCAACATTGCGGCTTCTTCACGCTACAGCGGTATCTTTCCAGTAACAAAACCATGAAAAGCTATCTAGCTGTAATAGGGGGAAAGAGTCATAAGAGTTCATGGCTGGGCACAATTCATATTTTTTGGCTATCGTTCACAAAGTCCTGTTCCTTTGAGACCGAACAGAAACAGAATAACAGAGCTGGAAGGGACCTGGGAGGTCTTCTAGTCCAACCCCTGCTCAAGCAGGAAATCCTAGCCCAGGGGTAGGCAACCTTGGCTCTTTTATGACTCGTGGACTTCAACTCCCAGAATTCCTCAGCCAGTCACGCTGAGGGGAAAGGGAGAGGTTTCCAAGCTGAGCCGTGCTGGCTCAGGAATTCTGGGAGTTGAAGTCCACGAGTCATGAAGGGGCCATAGTTTCCCCCATGCTGGCTGAGGAATTCTGGGAGTTGAAGTCCACGAGTCATGAAGGGGCCATAGTTCCCCCATACTGGCTCAGGAATTCTGGGAGTTGAAGTCCACGAGTCATGAAGGGGCCATAGTTTCCCCCATGCTGGCTGAGGAATTCTGGGAGTTGAAGTCCCATGAAGGGGCCATAGTTCCCCCATGCTGGCTGAGGAATTCTGGGAGTTGAAGTCCGCAAGTCATGAAGGGGCCACAATTCCCCCATGCTGGCTGAGGAATTCTGGGAGTTGAAGTCCTCGAGTCATGAAGGGGGCCAAAGTTTTACCCATGCTGACTGAGGAATTCTGGGAGTTGAAGTCCATGACTCTTTTTTCTTTCCTTCTCTCTCTTTATCTTGCACTCTCTCTCTTTCTCTTCCTCTTTCTTTCTTTATCACTTTCTCTCTTTCTCTTTCTTTCTCTTTCTTTCTCTTTTTCTTTTTCTTCTTTCTTTCTCTCCTCTTGTTCTCTTTCTTTCCTTCTGCATCACTCCCTTTCTCTCTCTTTCTTTCCTGCTCTCTCTCTCTCTCTCTCTCTCTCTCTCTCTCTCTCTCTCTCTCTCTCTCTCTCTCTCTCTCTCAGCTGTTTTGGGTGTTTGCTTGCCAACATTTATTAAATAAAAATCAAACCATATTTTTGCCAACAGAATTGAGAGGTTGGTTGGGTTTTTCTGATCTGGATAGAGGTACTTAAGTGGAAATACGCTGGTGCAAACAAAATAGGAAATTCCCTATAGGAATTTTCCAACAATCAGGAGACTGAAAAATAGGCAATGGGAGTGCCATGCTTTGAAGAGAGAAGTCTAAGGGGAAATTATCTCACTCAGAAGAAAGTCAAGACTTGTTTATTTACTGTTCATCGTGTAGGACATGGGATAATGGATTTAAGAAAACCGATGCTGACAGAATACTGGAAAAGCAATTTGGCAGTGTGATCAATTACTGAGAGAGATGATGGGTTTTCCTCTGGATAGGTTCAAGCCGGGGCTTGTCATAATTCTATTTTATTTTACAAGTTGCACTTCTTTCGCGTCTTCTTCGGAGGCATTTTCAGTGGACGCTGGCAAAAATAGGGCTAATAAAATAGAAGTTGCAAACCCACCGCTTTCCAAAAAACAAATTGTATGAATTCCCACCACAGAATCTTAAAGGCACGGCTAATTCACTCAAAAAAAAAATATATCACCCACTGTTTGCTTCTCTTTTAAGGTTTAAGGAAATTTATTATATACAATTTAGTTTAGAAAGCAGTTGAAAAGAATTTTATAGCTCAGGGTTGAACTGAAAGAGAGATCCTTGGTGCTCCTCTGAGCTGGCTGGGTTTTCTTGCAGACGTTTCAGGACCCAACTAGGGAACATTATCAGTGCT